AAATTGTAACAAAGAATAACCCCCCCCCCACGGGGGAAGTGTTATACATTTATAATAGATACATTTTGAGCCATAACAACGCGTGGCGGGGTCTGCTAGTTTAATCATAAAATTAATTCTGGAATATAATACATGTACACGTGCATATTGTATATCAAACACATGTGCACAGTATAAATCACTTTTTCTTTTGTGTTAGTTGAAATGAAGATTATATTATATTAAATTTGCATGATTTTTACTATTTAAAATAATTATTACTTTTTATAACAGAATAAAAATATTTTTGGCACGTCCAAAAACCCGATCGAATCGGAGCCAAATGGGCCTTTGGAATCATATATCAAGATGCTTGGGCTCGGATGTAGAAAGGTCCATCATTTAATTTTCTTACAAAAAAAAAGCAGTAGGAATATTATATAAATGAAAATTTCTTTTAATATTTAGTGAAATCCTGTTTATATTATATTAGCATTTGGAGAGCATAGAGTCTCATTTATGATTGATTCTGGCTTTGTCTCACCTTCAGTTCTTGGAAAAATTTCAATTTATAAGTTTAAGGTTAAGAACTAAAGGAATAATATCGTTTGTTGAGAATATCAAGATCATTCAGATCTTCGTTCTGTATAATTGTGTTGATTTTTGCATTAAGAGTAAATATACTGTAAATAAATAGCGCATATAATCTCTGTATTATTCGCTACATTAAGAATTTTGTTTTATTTTAGAGATACTAATAATATATTTATTAATTTAAGAAGAAGAAGAAGAAGAAAGAGTCTTTTTACAATATCTGAACTTCTCACTTATAATGATCTTTAATTGCTATTTTAATCATTAAATATAACAAGACAAATTATATAATATTTTTAATTTTATTTTTCTTGATTTTTTTCATCCACTATCCTTAATATTAAACTTTAAAATTTGACTAATTTACTTCTAAAAAGCATTTTAAAAATGTAATATTGAGAAAATTGTGGTGGAAAATTGTTCGTTTTTTTTAAATAAAATATTCCAATTAAAATAAAAATGCTTCGTTATCTAAATTTTAATAAGTTTACTAAATTGTGTATAAATATCCATTCTGATTTTAACATTAAAAACAAAAAAATAACAATAATAATAATTCATAAATGTGAAAACAATCAATTCAGGCTTGATTCAAATAAATGAAAATTATACTCAACATTATATTATCCTAATTTCGTATAATAAAGCTATTATTGGGCTGCAATTTGAAAATTGCAGCCCAATAGATTCCCACTGTTGTTCGTCCGTACTTCCTTAATCTCGAGAATCAAGTTAGATAAATAAAAATGGAAAAAGATATGGAAAGTTTATGTGCCGGTGGGCTCAATTAACTATATACGTGATTTTTAAAATTAAAATATGATTAAAATTGCAGCCCAGTATTATGACAATGTCATATTAATTCAAGATTTTTTTAAAAATGTGTTTTATTTATCGAATAGCTAGATTCGTTAGAGTTATAATCACATAATATTTTTTACACAATGAATGTGATTAAATTACGGAGCGTATCCAGGTGTACTTATGGCGCTGCAGAACCTCATTGGTAACAAAGTAGTCAATTTTATTCCGATACTTTAAAATAAACATAACGCATATCATATGACTTCAATTAGGTAACTAAAGTAATTCTAAAGTGATTGAGTAACATTCTCCGATAAACAACAGAAGGCAGGTGACTTAGTTTCCCCCCTAATCTGATCCACACTCTAAATCCTGGATACGTCACTGATTAAATCCAAGATTTCAGTTAAGATATATTCTAAATTCTTCGATAACATGATATATTATTTATAAATTTTAAATTATTACATTTTCTTCTATTGATTTTGTTACTTAATTGAAAGTTGTCAACATAAATAAACAAAATCAACATTCTACTAAAAATGAAAAAAATAGCATGATGTAACGTAAAAAATAGTATATAAGTTCTCTAAAAACTTATAAACTATTTTCTAACCCAATAAAAAGTTTTAAAACATTTTATGTATTTGTTATTTAAAAATATTTACATCTAGAAAATAATTTTTTAGGTAAAAATTTTAAATTTTTAAAAGAGTTTGATTCTCAAAAAAAAAATTAATATCTTCTTTAAAAAACTAGAAATTCGCATAAAAATTAAATTCAAATTATAATTTTTATATGATAATTTGTGTATTTTAATGTCAATAATTTTGCTAAATATTTTAATTATTGTGTTATTTTTAAACAATTAATATTATTTCGAAGCAATTGATGACTTTTATAACGATAAGAGAGAAAATAGTGTTATTTTTTAAGTAATAATACTTTATATCTTACATATTCTTTGTTCTTTTTTTATTAATTAAGACGTTCTTAAATATGTGGAACATTCATAAAAACTTTATAAGATTGAAGTATATTTTACTTACAAAAATACACATTTAAGTTACATATGTAATTTATATTTTGAAATATTCATTAATGTAAGTTAATAAACTTTATTTTAAAAAGCTAGTTTTTTTTTAATTGATTGCCTTTATTCGTGCATTCAGAGTCATTTGCTGTCTAGAATTTTAAAACTTAATATCGTCACTCAAATCTTAAATGAAATATTGATGATATATCTATGAAAAATTCCATATTCATTCTTGTTTTCTACTGAATTTTTAATATTTTTCTATAAAGAATAATACATTTTTAGATTTTGTTTACCATTATTAAAAATTTAGTAAAAATTGGATGATAAACTCTTCGAATTTTCGGCATTTTGCCATATGTAACACGAGGTGATAAGTAAAGAAAAAAACATTAAAAATATATTTTTCCATATTCTACGAATAAGTATTTTTAAAAACTGTTCCTGTATTCTGGTTATAAACAGCATACTAAATAAAAAATTAATTTCATCAATACATTAATATATATTGTTTTTTAATAATTCAGAATAAAATAAAAATAATAAAAATAACATATTATATTTAAAAATAAGCAATTCTTGATATATTTTAACATTAATATCATTAATTAAAAATAAATAAATAATTTTTTAATTAATAAAACATTTTCTTATCTCTCAAATAGAGCCATAATTATTTAAATTTGAATGCTATGCATTAACATTATGTTTTCAACGTGTCAGTAAAATATATCTTTAATTAAACGTTTTTTTAAAAAACATATTTAATTAGTAAATGAGAATAAAAACAAAAACAACAACGTGAATAAATTGTTTATTGTCTATTTTTAAAAATACTGTACATTGGAGTCTGTTCCCGTTGAAAATAGAACGTTGTATTATATCTTCCAAATTTTCCTCGCAAAATATTCTGTACAATCGAACATTTAAATATTTTTTTTCCAACATTCTTTTAATAATCTCTGATAAACATCTATATTTAAATCATGTGATACTTTTATAGCGAAACATTGATTATTTAAATATTTTCTATTTTATCACATGAAACTTGCACAGAATTTTTGCGTGACAAATTATCGGTCACGAAATGCAAACATAGTTTATGTTAGCAACTGTGAATAGTGTAAACACTTCCAGGACACTCAAGCAATTCAAACGGACAGTTTTTGGATGGTAACCTTACATTCATGGTTTTTTTTTTTTAGAAGAATATCTCACTTGGAAAAATCTGCAATTGCAGTAATATTATTTATGAGAGTGGTTTTTTTTTTCTTTAAATTTAAGACTAAAAAATTATTATTTAATTTTTTCTCTAGCTGGACCATTAGTGGACATTATGTCTATAAGAATTTCGTCTAATTATATAAAAATCTAATATAATTTAAGGTAAAGAAATACATAGATATGTTCCTCTTTTTCGTGTTCGTGTTAACTATATTTGGTAGAAAAGTGAAATTTATAGGCCAGTTTTTTAATATATTTTTTTCCCTACTCTATCTAAAAATTTTAATTTGAAATAATTTAAATTTTTTTAAATATAATGACTATGAGAAAAATATAAAAATTTCTGCTTCTATATTAAATTCAACTTTCTATATAATTTCTAAATCCTTCTTTAATTCTAGTCTTTAAAGCAAGGTAAAACAGAATTTTTAACCAGTAACTTGAAAGGGTTTAGATAATAAAAGTAGTTACAAGAAGATGAATCGATGAAAATCATACATAGAACATAACACAAGTACTGTGTAGTGATAATGAATACATAAGATTGTTTCAACATAAATCCTTATAAATTTTATACAAAATCTTGCTCAACAATTAACAATAACTGAAAATAAACTATAATATACAACGTAATTCAGTTTTTAAATTATTACCCTTTATCGGGAAATTATCTAAATATTAATTTAAAAATTCTATGATATTAAAGAAAACAAAACTCTTTTTTCAAACACAACAAACATCGAATTCAATCTATCGATAATATCTTATAAATAAAGGGATAATGATATAATGAGTTGATTTTTTTTTTAATATTTTGCTATGTCAGGCTATAGAATAGATTTCTGTTTAAATGATCACTACTTGAAAACAAGATAGAAATTAATATTGTAAATTCATATGCATATAATGTAGAAATATATAAGGAAATTATGAGATAAATTGGTGAAGTCTTTATTCTGTTATGTGCACTTATTGATGTGTATGAAGAAATTCAAAAGTATGAAAAAAACACAAACATTTTCCTCGAGAAGCTATCTTCTTAATATTTCTCTTAGAAAAACTGTTTGTGTATTTACAGCAAGTAAATAAATGATGATATTTGCAATGTGCACCCATACATACTCGATCTTGTTCTTCAGTAACTCTTATGGGTTCTAAGAGGTTCCTCAGATGCAAAATAATTATCGTTCTTAACATTCTACTAAACACAGATTGATGCCTTCTGCCCATTTTAACCAAAAGATATTTTTGGTAACTTATTCTACATTTTCAGAACTAAGATTCCAGTTCTCCGGTCGTCTTGGTTCAATACAGGCGTAAGCTAAGAAAAAACCAAAGACGAAAAGCCCAAAGAGGATAGGAAAGACTGCTCTCGACACATTGTCGATGTTCTTAGAAATCCTCTGAGACGAAGGTGGATTCTGGATGAGAAGTTGTGGACGCTTTAACCAGGAAAACACTGACAACGAAGGTCCTGCTCTACCCTCTACTCCTTCAGTTCCTCTTTCTCTTGCCATAGAACTGCTCATATCATTGCTGTCTGATGTGTTCTTTTGATTGCTGGTCTAAAATAAAATAAATACATTAAAAATTAATATTAAATATTTATAATTTCGTATTAAATTTTTATATTTACTTCTATACTGCCACACCATCTTCCTACTTGTGACAGAGTTGCTGTAGGCCTTAGCATATCGGTTTGATGAGTACTGGAAGAGGGCCGGGATCCTTTTGGTAGTTTTCTATGTAAATAGTTTGCAATAATGAACTCTAACATGGAGGCATAGATAAAGAACATACAGACACCATCCCAGAGGTTCATGGCTGTAAGATTGGACACAACAGGAAGAGTAGAGCGAAAGCTGTTCGTTGTAGTGCAAAAGTTCAACATGGTCGTAACACCAATCATGACTCGTGCAGGCACTGCATTAACGTCGAGCCAAAAACTAATAAAAGAACTTGTCACTAAAACTATGCCAGGCACAAAGACAGTACTGAAGTAAAAGGATTTATCTCTTGTGAAAACTAAAAGCACCCGTAAACAGCTATAATTACCTAAAAGAATAAATTTGAAATATTGTTTTCAGACATTATTCTTATTTATTTCTAATTAAAAAAATAGCTTTATTTCCACTTCATCATCTTCTATGGTAAGTGCTATATAAATAACTCGATTAAGTTAGAATAAATATAATAAATATAAAAAGAATTACCTCTCCACGTATGTTGTTTGTCGCATATTCCAGTATCATTTTTTACAAGGTATGCATTATGCGATCGAAGGGCTTTAGTACTAACAAAGGAAGCATTCTCGTTCCATTTTAATTCTAGTTCCGAAACTTCATGCGAAACTTCAAAGGAAGAAATCAAACGAGTACTGCATTTTATGATAAAGTATAAATCTTAGAAATCTAAATAAATATTAATTTCTTTTGTAGATAGATAAGAAATAAATTTTGATCACAGATTCTTAATTAGAATAACATTTTCTTAGTAGCTTTCTTTCAAAACTCAGCATTTTCACGATATTCTAAAAATTTTAATAATTTTATTAATAAATTATAACTATTTTATTATCTAAAATATGCACTTATTTTTATAATTTGATTTCCTACTTTATAAATATGCGATAATAACTTTTAAAATAATTTCTCAAGAAATTCGTTTGGCAAATCTAATGAAATGACTACTTAATAAAATAAATGAAAATTTATTAGCAAGCTTATAGTCAAAATTTTAAATTTTGTTACGTGAAGTATCGCGGAATAAATACTTAAAAATATTTCTGTCAGTCTAATTGTTTTTTTCGAATTTGAAAACAATAGAATACTACAAATAATGTAAACGATTGAAAATTACAATGTAAAGAATTTGCTGAATTAGCTTCGTTCAATACAAGTCTTTGTCCTTTAGACAATCTAAATTGTCCCTGACGAAAAAAGCATCTAAATTAACTATGAATAAAGCTGTAGATCCTTATATGTTATATTTATAACATATTTTATTTTATTCCAGTAAACTTAACAATAGTAAGTACATAAAAGTAGAATACAAGCTTATAATTCTATTGAAACATATTATAATATTTGAGTCCTATTTTATTTTATTTTTGCGTGTTTATATAATCCTCAAAACTCATGACAAATTAAACAAGAACATAACAACATTTATTAAATATTGAATACATCTAAGCGTACTTAAAATGATTAAAATTACAATTAACCTTGGCCATTTCCTTCTACTTTACTAAATATTATTTTGAATTTTTAGCTTCTCAATTATTCAGAGCGTTATTTTAAAATACAAAGATAAATAAATAAGATCTTATGAGGATTTTCTCATGCAATCATACAATTATTTTTCTGCGAAATTATATTGACATTCTTATTGCCGTGTCAAAAAATATATAAATTATTTTTTTGAGTCATATTATTGTATCAAAAATATATGGAAATATATAATATACGATACATTATATATACACAGTCGTATATATAAAAATACGATAGCGATATATGAGATATACATCATATACTGTATTTATACCTTATATAATATATATATAGGTCTATATGTATACTTTATATAATTTATAATGCTGAATCTTGAAAGAAAATAGTGTTTTGTCTTTAAAAACTCACTTTATAAACATTTTATTGTAATAGACAGTTCTTTTAATGCGTAAAGAATAGAATTACACAATGTATTAAAATATTAGGCACTCCTATTTTTATATTTTAAATATATAAAAATAAAATGACAATAATTTAATATGACAAAACTAAAATAAATTTTTATATTTTAAACTTTAATAGCACGTTTTCTTTTATCTTTATTAAAACTGACTATAAATTCTTCCATTTTTAGTTAATACAATAATATTAAATTAATAATAAAAAGAATATTTAGATGAAAAAACCTACCACTTTCTATAGCAAAAGGACACTTTGGATTATCGAATGGAAATATTTCTAAGTTTCCCTGACAGTTCAGCACCATATATCGCCTATAAATAAATTAATATAAACTAAAACAATTAAACATAATATAATTTTAAAATTAAAAACATTTATCTATCGTTTAGAATATGTATAAAAGGTGGCCCAAAAGTCATTTAACCGAATCAGATAACATTTAAGCCTTTCTGTGATATAAATTTAAATTTTTATGATGACAATTCAGTTCTATTTATAAGTAATTTTTTATTGTAAATATGTAAAACTAGTTTTTGTTTCTTTAATTAAAAAAAATTAATACATACTTTCTTCCAAAAATAAATGATTTACAATTATACCTTTATTCAAGAATATTTTAAAATAATTTTTTTGTTTGTATAAAATGTAGGTTTAAGTAAATAATAAACCATTAACAAAACACATTGAATGTATGAAAGGGATTCGACTTTAGGAAAATTTAATATTAAAATAAAAAAAAATGAAAGTGCTTCTTATTTTCTTTATTAACAGCTGTTTTGCACAGAGATTCAATGAGTTTGCTAAACATATTGATCCTACCTCATTATATAAACGACGGTTCCGTTTCTGAACAACTTCAGAGCCATGTGATCCGGTTGAGGAGTCTTGAATTCTCCATGCTTAATGAAATACGTGTCGGGCAACCAGATTTTCTGTACATGCATTAAAGCGTTTAGATATTGATGAGAACCTCCATCATCGAATTCTAAGCGATAATCAGTCCAATAAAGATGGAGTAAAAACTCCACTTCGTACTTCTATAATTTAAATTTATTAAAAAATATATTTGTTTTTAACAATTATAATTATCGATTTTTTAATTATACACAAATTTTAGAAGATAAACAAGCTCATCAAAAAATGATTTATCTTTTTATCAATAGATGGCAACACTAATATTTACGAGTAATTAGTTTTATTTTAAGTTATTTATATTATAACCTTAAAACTTAAAATTTTTTTATTAATTAATTTATTTTATTTAAAAAAATAAATTATATATTTATTGAAATTTTTTTTCGTTTTAAGTTTGAATATAATTGTTATTGGTACGTGTCGCCATCTGTTAATGCAATTAAAAAAACGTTTAAATTTTTCTTAAAAACTTTTTATGAAAATTTTAAACTTTGAACATTACCGAATGTTTCGAATCATTCCAATTGATGATGATACTTAAAAAATTAGATTAAAAATAAATTTGGGTGGAGTGATAAAACATGCAAACGGATAACAAAATGACTATAATTAAAGACTATTTTTCTCTTTTAAATTCAAAGAAAATCGATGATTCATTATAATAACTTACTATTTTAAGTTTAAAATTGCCATTTAAATAGTTAAATCATTACCAATATTTAAATTTCTATTCTTTACAGTGAACATTGCACATTACAATTTATAAATACTATTTTTTTCAGTATTTCTAGCATTAACTGTTTACTTTTAACAAACTTTTTATTCGGTACATTTATAATTATGAAGAATTTTTCTTTGTACATAACTTTAAGCCATTTAAATACTGTTAATGCTGATAAGTACACTTTTCTCGTAGGTATCGAATGTATTACACAATTAAAATGTCTAACCAAATAATTGAATTATATGGAAATATTTATGAAAAATAATGAGTAATATGACAAAACACTATCAGGATAGTCTTAGTTATATTACTGATCACTATCAAATACAACATATTTACACAATATATATAAAATAACTCCCTTTTTTCATTTGATAAAATATTAATTGATTTTATATATAGTAGTGGTATGGGATCTGTGAAATTCTAAGCAAGCGTGGACTTGCGAGACCTTTTATATAAATTTATATAAAATTCCTATTACAAGATACAAGCTAGAATCTTAGTATTAAATTTTGAATAATATATCATGGACGAATATACATTTATACAATACCTCTGAGCCCTTAAAGCTATACTATAGGCCAAAATCTGGAATATTTACCCTTAATTGTGTAGTAACTTATTGCACACGTAATTTTTTGGCATTAAATAAATAACTACTTTTTGATACATTAAATACCATTAGAACTAGTTTTAATTTAATATATAAATATCTATGTATTTATATTGATACGTTAATTCTCATATATATAGTTTATAAAAATTAATTTTCAAATAACACCATTTAATTAACAGATTAAGCTACTAAAATTAATATAAATATTCATCAACTAATATTATTTATTAAGATTAGTTTCAAATGTGTATTAAAAATTAGCAATATTCTTAACAGATAATTCCGCTTAATATAATAATTTTTAGTAAATAAAAGCACTTTAGAATTTTAACGATATCAACATCATAAAGAATAAGCAAGCAAGCAATTTATTATTTAAATATTCCCTTCGAAAGTATTCATTAAATAAATAATTTACGTGCAAGATTTACAAGATACACGCATTTAGAATTCATACAGTACATTAGTTTGAACTCTTATTTTACTAATTTCTATTTATTTACTGGTTATAGCCTCTAGACAATACACTTCGAAGAAAACGATAACAAAAGTGCAATCAATCAATGTCAAATTTGATATACAATTTCGAGTAAATGATGTATTATTGGATTTAATTTATTAAAAAAATTATATTTTAATTAAATTATTTCTTCACTTTTTAATAAAAATTATTTAAAAAATTAAAAATAAATACACTGCTACAATGTAATTAATACGTATAATATGAATTATAATGCCCAAACAAGTATTATAAAAATATAATGTAACCTGATAAACATTATGAATTTTATTCTAAAATTACTTAATGAAAAATTAGGGAATATTTCGTATATTTAAGATCCTATAAACTGTTTATATATTGAAAATATTTTTCTGAGAAAACAAGATAGAATAAACTTTAGTGCAAAGCTTTTGTATCTATTTATTTATACCGCAGCTGGACACTAACTGGAAACTTCATTCTCCAAATGACTGGCAGTCTCAATAAATTCACTATAAAAACAAGTAAGTAATGCAATACTTACTAAACTGGACTCGTCTGGTGAAGATAGCGATAGCAGCATTACTGTCACGTTTACTAGCGTGTGATCTGAAAAAAAAAACAATCAAAATATACTGTTTTTCTACTAAAAATACCTCAAAATTGAAATTTAGGATTTTTCAATGTATACAGAAGATTTTTAATATAGCACATATAACAGATAAATAGTAAATATCGTAGTAAATACTATAATAATATTAGATGAGATCTTATATGCTACATACAACTAACGCTTAAAAAATAATATTGGATGAAATATTTAAATTTAGTGAGGAAGTTTCTTCCATTTTATACATTTTTTATATCCTAGAAGCAAAGTTTATATAGAAAATAAATTATAAATAATTCGTCTTTTTTTATACGTCTACTATTTAGTAAATTTTATTTATAAATTATTTCTCTTCTCATAATATAATGTTCACATATACTGTTATGTATTTATTAAAATTCTATTAAGAATTCTATTCAGATAAACTTTATTAAAATTTATACTTCCTTCTGGAATTATTTACATTTTTAATTCTTAATTTAAAATATTACAAGGCATCTCACTGTGCTTTATTTCATTATCAACACCTGTCTTCAATTACGTATTATCTCAATAACTTACTATACGGTCTAATCCTATGATCGTATCCCTCTGCATTTACAATATAATCTAAAATTTCTTTGTCTGTCTTATTGATAAACCTGTAAATTAATTATATATATATATTAATTAATAGATCTTGCTTGATAATTTAAATTAAATTAATTATTACAGTTAAATATTTATACTCACGTAGGACTTTGTGCTGTACAAAACATAGGCACTTGACAAAAGACAGCCACAATGACGAAAGCAAACGCATATCTCCACCAATTCCACATTCTCTGCTTTCTAAAAAAAAGTAGAAATTAAATTAAAATATTAAGTAATTAAGAATTATTTTTCACTTTNTCTTTTAAAAAAAAAAGCATGTAAACGAATATTATATAATTCCTAACCCTTTTAATTGTATTTTTAATTTTTTATTAATTGTATTTTAATTTATTCGTCAATCATTGTTTTCGTTATTTTTATGTATTTCGGGTATAATTTAATGTTTATATAGAGAACTAAATATAATATGCCTAACCTATTTTTTATTCTTATTGTATTTTACATTGTATTCTTTTTAATTGTATTTTAATTTATTCGTCAATCATTGTTTTTGTTATTTTTATGCATTTTATTTCTGATTTAATGTTAATTAGGGGGGAGAAAATCTATTGTCGTAAGACTTTTCCTAATGTGATTGAAATAAATAATAATTATTATTCAGTAAATCATACATAATTAAAAAAGTAATTAAAGAATATTTCAATTACAATTAACATTTTTCTGTAAATATACAAATTTAAATATAGAATAAACAATCATAAATGCATTAACTGTTAGAAGAAACAATCATCGTGATGTAAGTATTTTCTTCCTGATTATATTTCTTAATGTTCGAATATATAAAATAAATAAGGAAACATAAAAGTGAATGGTCTTCATCAATTGTTGAATGTAAAAGAAAGATACATAAAGTTTATGGTAAATAACAAAAACGTAGGCCAAATCATAGAGTTTAACACGCAATCATTTAAAATATATCAACATTTTTTTTAATTGAAAATCAAGATGTGCATAGCATTAATGTTTTGTTAGAATGTCTTTTTAATTTTTTTTTAAATAAAACATTATAAATACAATAGAGTCTTGCTAATCCACCATTCCTTGCACAGAAAGACGTCATATTAGCGATAATGCCAGATTATTGAGAGTATTCACGCTTATAGGGAATAAATGAAGTGATTTTTCTCCCTTTGGTAGGCCTACTAATTCTTTTTGGAGCTGTCGTACTTTTCTTATTATAAAACATTGTAGTGATACAATAATTGTAAGTTTAATTTTTATTTAAATTTAATGTTACAAGTTTATCACACTCACTTATCGTATGAAATATAAGCAAAACGAATAAAAGAAACAGTTAATATTTTGGTTGATTTTTATGTTTTAACCAGACTTTTTAGTTATTTTAATTAATTTATTATGTAACAATTCAATTTTTATTTAAATTTAATTATTATTTTCATAATAATTGCTGAAAAAAACGCAATTATGTTCTATTTAAGGTATCAACGAAACGAATAAAAATATTCAAAAAATCGTAGAATAACATTGATTTTAGCAATTCAATTAAAAAATTTCGGGCATTTTAACTGTGAAAAATCTGAATTTATAGTGAATTTCTTGTATAGAAAACATTGTTAACACCTTCAAAAAAAAATACTTTATTTAGCATCATCAATTTTTAAATTCTACTTTAATAATTAAGTATTAAGATTAAGGATTTAATTTTAAACTTTTCTAAGTTCTAAACTTTGTTTACGACTTTAAAAACTCTCTCCCTCTGTGAGAAAAATCCAATTAACCAAAAGAAATATTTATATTATGTTTTTATTTTGATTTATTTATTAAAAATTGAGAGATAAAACGAGGTAATTGTAACTTTAATCTCTAGATTAGATAATCGCATTAATTATGTAAAGATTAATTAAAAAAACTCTTATTTTTAATCTAGAGATAATTAATGTAAAATTAAAAAGCCAACTTTCGCATTTATGGCCATGTTTTTGCCATATAAGTACATATAAAACATTAAAAAAAACGAGTAATAAATATGAAGTTATGTGCAATATTTATTCTAAAAACCTATTTTAAAATTATTGTCTACATAAAATAAGGGCCCTCATCTTAGTGTAACGATGGGGGTATGATTTATAGCCATGTTTTTTACCTTAAAACATTTATAAACCGTATAAAATACACTACCTAACCTTTATATTTTAACATAGAAACACCCCGAAATACGCATAAATCATATAAGATACACTATTTTACTGTTATACTTTATTATAGAAATACCCCAAAACCCATAAAATGCACTAATTTACCATTATACTTTTCCATAAAAAACACATAAGCAGTAAGAAGTGAATATAATTTGCACATAAACATACGAATTTATCATACGAATCTATGGTACCATGCATAGAAATACATAAATATTATATAATTAAAGACCTTTTTAAAAGAAATAATTGTTTAAGAAATTATTATTTAAATTTAAAAAAGTATTTTTAAGGATTTTAATTTCGATTACCGACCATTAATGAATAGTCTATAATTGTTTATCGTTTAATTATAATTAAAATAATTAATTATAATTACCGAAAATGTCATTAAATTTCAAAGTTTCAAAAACTAATAGGAAAAATTTTTTGTTAATTAAATTTCCACTCAAAAATTCCTCAATTAATTTATTTTAAGTTACAATTTACAAATAAAATACAACTTAAGATTATGAAATTCTAAACTAAACATATCAACAACGAAGCCAACAATTGTAAAAAGTGTGTTAAGAACGTACAGACAGACACACGTCTACATAATCAACTCATGAAAAATCCATATACGTCAATGTAAGGAGTGTTATTGATGTTATGCTTATATTTATATCAATGTAAATATCATCTAAACTGTGCAATACACTATAGAGTAGTGTGACGTATATAATGAATGATAGTGTTTTTGGATAGTGAAAGGGAGACATTTTGAAATCGGTAAGGGACGAGAAAATCGGTAGAATTTTTGTAGAATTATCTTGACACTACATCTGTCATAACTTTACCTCCTCTTTCTCGTGTGCAATTCACTTTCTTCATCCATTTAGTGATTGATATAAGCTGTTGTGATGTATGCTGTGTGTAGCGAATGATCCGTGACGTAACACAGATAATATGCCTGGGAGTCTCTTTAGTCTCCCAGGCATATTATCAACTAATTAGTAACACTGTGCTGAAAATATTTATAGTGTTGCCCATTTAATAGACTGTAACTTATAAAGTCGTGAAATTAAAAAAAAAACAAAAAAAAATGGCCTTTTAAACTTTACTGTTGATAATAAAGTTATGCTACTTTAATGCCCTTTTTTTATGTTAGTTGTGTTTCTTTTAATTATATTTATTAATTTAAGTGGATTTTTTAAAGTTTTATTAATGATTAAAAGGGGGGGCTTTTACTCGTTCATGCATTGTACTGTACAGTACAATTATAACACCTCTGTAGGGATTCTGCAGTTAATTTTACAGCTAGACACTATAGAGTTTGAATCCTTATAGCAAAACTCATATAGTTAGAATCTATAAATAGAGCTTTAGAGAATCCTGTAGGAATCGTTATAGCTCCTGAAGGATCTGCATAAACAGAAACCCTTTGTAAGGATCCTGCAGTTGATTTAACAGCTAGACACTATACAGTTTGAGTATTTATGGCAAAACTCCTATAGTAAGAAGTCCAGGATTGAGATTTATTATGAAAAGAAGTCCTGTATGATCATTCCCCTTAGAGTGTGTAGTAAATGTTTATATAATTTCCTTAAGGATCTCTATAATTATAACATTTACAGAGAATATTTTCTGTATATCTTATTTCTCTCTGTAGGGATCCTACAGTTAATTTTACAGGTAGACACTATACAGTTTGAATCCTTAGAAAAAACTTATCTTTATAGTTTCTGTAAGGATTAGATAATCCTGTATATCCCTATATTCTAGNTACAGTACATGCATTCGTAAATTTAGATTACTTTTTTCTGTACTATATTAAAAACTAAAATTTATTTGTTTGTAAGCTTAAAATAGATTCTCATTAACCATATATTATTAAAAATGCATTAATAAATAAAATACAGAACTGGGAATAGTAATTTATAGTTTAGCCTAGCGACAAGTAGATTCGGAGACAAGTAGATTCGACTTACGTCGTTTTTCGACTTAAGTCGTTTTCCTGGAACCAATTACCGACGTAAGGCGAGGTATACCTGTATATGTTAAATGTGTGTATTTTATATATATTTATGCATTTATAAAATTAATTTACATATTCTTATGTATTGAATAATATACTTTATCTAAAATATATTATAATTTTAATTTTATGAAGAGTCTTGAATGTATAATATTGTAAAAAGTAAGAAAAAAATCGTATTATATTTTTCAAACAACAGGGTGGCCCAAAATATAATAACCACAGTATATTTTAAGCTTTCAATGAAGAGTATGAATCACAAATGATAACAGATTTTAATAATTCTTAAATATGGAAGTCCGAAAAATTTGTATATACACTTTGTATACACATAATATAATATAAAGATAAAAATTATTAATAATTAAAGTGTGTATACGTTTTTTGGGACAACCTGCATGTAGCTCGGTAAACTGATTTTTCAGTCATTCTTTATTTACTTAACTAATATAATTAGATTTATATTAAATGTAATATAATATCAATGTAAATATATCGGATCTTTTGCATTATTGTCTATATGCTTTAATTCTTTATAAATATTTTCGTTTATCAGCTTAAAAAATTGAAAACAAATTATATTATATATATAAAAAAAGTACCTGTATTAAAATAATCTGCTTTTTATTAATAATTTATTCATAAATATTTTTAAAATAAACTAAATAAAATATAAACTTTTATTTAAAATAAACTACTTAATAACTTGAGAGAAGAAATTTAAATTGTTTAAATTTTTTTTATAAATTTGATAGATTTTTCAATTGAAATCACAAAGTATAAAAATTCTATTTTTTTTATGAGACGATATATAAAATATAAGTGATATTTTTAGTTTGTTTTACGCTTTCTAGGATTACGAATGTGCATTTATATTGTATACATCAAAATTTAAAATAGTTTAAAACACGTCTATATCCTACTCAACTACACATTTTTTAAATATTTTCTTGACATGTTTATACCCTTGAAGTTCTGAACTTTTCGAATTTTTATGAAGA